GTCCATCACTAGGAGCTTTGGGCTACAGCCTACTTCATACGACGAAGAGTTCGAGATGAGCCCAAACCTCTTGACAGCCAAGCACGTTGATGACATCAATATGACTGGGAAGGAAGAGGCTATTGACAAGTATGTCAAGTGTGTTGAAGATACGTTTGGGAAGTGCAAACTGAACAAGCACACATACACAAACTGTGCCGTTCGGTACAACAAGACCGATGATGGGAGCGTCACTCTCGATCAGGACGAATACATCAAACAGCTTCGTCCTATCACACATCCAGAACTCACAGGAGCTGATCCTGAAAGCAAGGCGACGAAGACGATTTCTGATATGTTCGTCAGTCTTCGTGGCGCTCTAGCCTATGCGTTGATCACGCAGGTATGGCTAATGGTCTATGTTGTCTCACTACAACGTATCCAAGAACCGACAAACATCCAGGTACGACGACTAAACGCGGTTACCAGAAAATTACAGGCAGGTCCGAAGAAGATCGTGTATCAAGCTATGACTCCAACAGGAGAAGTCGACCTGCATAGCGATTCTGGCTATCGTCGTCTCAACGGAGATGAAGACGACGAAGTCAAAGGCTATGGTATCCGCGGGGCTAACCTGCTGAGGCGTGGCCACACGCAAGCGGGGAAACCCGTCGTGCACCTGGTGGACGCATACTGCAAGTCTCATCGACTGCAAGTGCGTTCGAGCTACTCTGCGGAAACACTGGCAGCAGCCCACAACTTGGAAGACTGCTACCCGACCATTGTAACGCTCCACGAGCTACACTCGGGACCATTGACCCCCACACAGTTGAAGAACATATTGGAAATGGGTGGTCTATGTATCAAAGTCACTCTGACTATTGATGCCGAGTCTGTCTTCAAATCTTTGTCTAGCAAGGATCTGAAGAAGCCCACAGAGTGTACTCTGCTTGGGCACATCAGCTGGATCCGCCAGATGATGGAACGCGGAATCGTGGAAAGCGTCCAATGGTGTGACACGCGGGATATGACTGCCGATGGCCATACCAAAGGTAGTATTGACCGCGCGTTGCTCCTACAAGTAATGGCCGGCCAGCAATCCTTCAAGCATGAGCTGAAGAAACATACGCCGCATAGGGCGGGCAGGTCGTCTCAGGACGGCCCTGCCTCCCGAGCCAGCGGGGAAACCCGCGGGCAGGTGCGCTTTAGTAGCGAGGAAACTCGCCGGTAGCGAGGATACTCGCGCGCCCTTTCCTTGTAGGCAGCCGCTGCTGCTTAGCACTGTTTTTTCCGCATAATGTAGAAGTGCGGTACCTGCTCGTCTCCTCCCCCTCCGACTTTAAACGGAGAAGGTTAAAGGCGAGGTATAAATCGAGCATGTACCGCTGCCGTGCCTGGCTCAAGCCGGGCCCGGCCAAATATATGATTGTGCCTCACCGAGGCGCACGACTTGCATCAGAGATCGGAAAATACCTTTTCCATTGACGATGCCCATCCTATCCTTTACTCCAGATCCCATGCTTCGTCTTGCTCTCTTGCTCATGCGATATGAGCCAAAGCCTGGGATATGGCAACGCTTAAAGCGTAACACATACCTAAGCTTACCAGCTTGTTTTCGACTTCTTGGGGCTTCTTGGGGGCCTCTTCTGCGCCCCTTGGGGCCTCTTGGAGGCCTCCTCGGAGCCTCTTGGCGCGGGAGGGGTGGTACTCGAGTTCGGAACCCCCTCGGAGGCCACGATCCTCGTGAGGGGTGTCAAAAAAACGCATCCGCCGGAAACTCGCACCCCCCCCCCCACCCCCCCTTCCCCCGCAGAGCCACCCGGCAACCCCCCCAGAGGCTGAGGCTCAGCCTCGAGGCTGTAGCTGAGACTCCTTGAAACTCACACGCCGGATCGGCGGATTGGAGGTCATCTTAGGTTTTCTGAAGCGCTTTTGGAGCCATCTTGGGCGAACAAGGACCGTCTGACCGCTCGCGAAACGCCCCGTCCAGGTCCAGGGGAGGGGGTTAGGGGGAGGGGTAAACCCCTCCCCGAAGGGGAAGAAGGAGGGGTGGAAGAAGAAACTCTCTAAACCACAATTTCAGTGCAGGAAGTGCGCCGTTGGAAAACAACCGCCTGACGTTCACCAACATGCTGCACCCTGGCAATTCTAAACCGTGCCAATACACCATGTGTGAGGTATCAACCCTAAGAACCGTCGAACTTGAAGCATGCGCGCGGCGCCCTGGCGAGAACCACTTTTTGGAAAGCACCCCCATCCGTCCGTGAACACCTTGCAAAAGTTTACGACGAATGCGTGCGGCGCTAAAGCAAAGGGTTACATCATGAAATCGGGCCGCCCACCACCCGTGAAACTTTTGCAAACTTTGAAAACAAATGCGCGGCGCTAAGGCGAGGGCCACATTTTGAAAACGGCCCGCCCCCAATCCGTGAAGCTTTTGCAGCGTATTCAACTTCATGATCATAATTGGTGAGGAGGATTCACGCCAAACGCCCAGCCCCCCCCTACTTTGACGCCTCGGAGTGCGATTGGGGGGTATATATGATGAAGTGGGCTGACGGAGGAGAAGGAGGAGGAGGAGGAAGAGGAGGATTTTAAACATGAGGTTGAGGAGAACAGAGGAAGGGGCGGAGGGAGGAGGAGGAGGGAGGGGAATGCAGGAGGAGGAGGAGGAGGAGCGAGGCCTCGCCCCTGCCTCCCACCTGCCCGCTTCCGCGTCTCTCCGGCGGGTCAGGACCGAGATCATATGCACCATCGGCCCTAAGTCGTGGGACCCCGAGGCGGGCCGCCGTCGCCGCGCCTCCGAGCACGAGGGTTGAGGAGCATGATGATGACACGAGGAGGGGGCACAGGGGAAGGAGCAGGATGAGGAGGAGGGCCGGAAAGAGAGGAGAAAGAGGAGGAGGAGGGGGAGGAGGAGAAGGAGGAGGAGGAGGAGGAGAAGGAGGGGGAGGAGGACCAGGAGGAGGAGGGGGAGGAGGAGGAAGAGGAGGTGGGGTTGAGGGGGAGACATGGGGGAGGATTAGGAAGAGGAGGAGGGCAAGGAGATGGGGATGGCGGGAGAGGATGAAGAAGAGGAGGGAGATATGGAAGAGAAGGGGAAAAGAGGGCATGATGAGGAGAAGAGAATGAACGATAGGACGAGCGAGGAAGAGGAAGTACGAGGCGGAGTAGAATCCGAAGGCGGCGAGGATGACACGGATAATGGGCACGACTTACCAAATTGAACCCGCGCCTTCTCGGCGGGGTGTCGCGGCGGCTTGGCGAGGTCCCCGAGGGCGCCGCGTAGTTCAACGTGTACCGTTTCCCGAGCCCCAGATCAAGGGCAACGTTAGGGGGGCTGGGCTCCAGGGGCGATTTATCGACCTCCAATCGACCACTGCCTACGAATGCGGTTCCGCTATTGGAGACATACCTCCGATCTATCGGCGATGTATCGCCGATTTCAGTTCGATGTTCACCCCCCCTCACCCCCCCGAGCTGGTCCATCCCTTGCGTTGCCACTCACCAGTCCTCTGGCAGATTGATTTCTTGGATCCCGCAGGTTTTCCCAGACGTCGGCTCCTGAGGGGCCGATGTTGGGCCTTGGAGTGACCAGACTTGGATCCAGGACGAAAATCTAACCCCTGGGGAAAGGGTCGAGACTTGTTCTGGAACCCGCGGATCGAAACGATCAAAACGTCGGGTCTGCTGTGTAAGTTTTTGGCATGGCTACAATGCCGATGCAGGCGCTGCATTCTTCACTTAAACGGCACGAGCGCAGTGGAATTCGTTGCTACCTTGTCCCCGCCCATGGTTCTAGGGAGAGGAGGACGATAGCGAAGAGGAGGAGGAAGAGGAGGAAGGAGGGGGAAGCGAGAAGGAGGAAAGGGAGTGCCCATCCATTCATCCTTCCCCTCGACCCCTCCGTCATGCACCTCCTTCCCTGCCTCCCTTCCCCTCTTTACCTTCTTCTCCTCTCGAGGTGCTCGTCAAGCTCATCGACGCCGGCATGAACACGGTGCGCTGCAACATGTCACACGGTGATCACGCGGACCGCGCGGCGGGGGTGCGACAATGAGCGCACTACGTTTTGTCTTGTTGCTCCCGGTCCTCCTTCCCGCTCGCCGCTCTTCCCTCCTCTCTAATCCCTCCCATCTCCCTCACTCCGTCCATTCTCCCATCCGTTCATCCGTTGCCCCCTCCCTTCTGCGCTCCCTCCCTGCCTGCCTCCCTCTTCCCTCCCTCTCGTCATCCTTCTTCTCTTCCTCCTCGCTCTCCCTTCCCCTTCCCGCTTCCATCACTCCTCATGCCCGCTCCTTCCTTCCGCCTACTTCTCGGACTGGTGCGCGAAGCGCTTTTTCGCTGCCCCTTGCCTCCGTTCCATCCCCCTGCTCCCATCTCCCTGCTTCCTGATCCGTGCTGCCTCATCCTTCCTTCTGCAGCCTCCGTGTTCCCGTGCTCATCCTTCCGCATCCGTTCTTCTCATTTGTTTGTCCGCCGCAGCATGGTTTCCCTCACGCTTTCCTCCCCCTCGCCCCTTCTCCTTTTATCTCTGCCTCCTCCGTCCCCCATGATTCACCCTCAATCCCGCTCCTCTATCCTGCACTCTCGCTCGTCGTCGTTCTCCGCCTCCTTCCTTGTCCTCATTTTCGCCCCTCTCGCGCCTCGTCCTCCTGCCTCCCTGCCCCGTTCTCCACCATCCTCCATCCTCCGTTTCAGCTGCACTCGGCTCCAGCCTGGCCCTTTTAATTTTGATCCTCACTGTGTTGTGCTCCCCGCTCTGGTCTGAACCAGTCCAGTCCCCTTGCCAGTCCCCACTTCCCGTGCTCCACCTCCCCGTGGCCCTTAGCCGTTCCCCTCCGTCCGCTCCCCGTGCCATTTCCCCCTCCTGCTCGCACTCCCGCCGTCGATCTCGCTTTCCTCCTCGTCCTCACGCCTTACTCCTCACCTTCTTCCTCCTCTTCCTCGTCTTGCTCGTCCTCCTTCACACCTGTCCCGACCCGTTCGGCCATGGTCCCGCCCGTATGGAGGAGCAGACGATGAAGCTAGAGAACCTTGAGAAGGCCTACCAGATGCGGCCTGAAGCTAGAGGTACCGTCAAGGCGCACTCGTAGGCTCAGAGATCGACACTTCTGTTGGTTTGGACTTCGAGTCGTAGCGGCAAGCAGAAGGCAGGTTTGCAGGCATCTTGCATGCAAGCACTCGAACACATTGAAATCATCATTCACGCAAGCAGCCAACCGTGTAAGTTGCCGACAACAGCGCACGCACGGAAGCCAGCAGTGACATGAGTTCGCAAGCAAGCAACCATGCGCGCGCCCACTAGCATTCACGTAGCACATACGCGAGCATGGAAGCGAGTCCGCAAGTTATTCTTTACGCTTCGCGTATCCCCACTAGCGCCTGGCAGTCTGGCCCCACCTGCGGGTCCGACCTTTCCGCCCTCCCCACCCTCGCTGGCACACGCTCAGCGGCTGGTTCTTCCCATGTGCATCCCTCGCTGGCACATGTTCAGCGTTGTTAATTTTCTGCTGCTGGCACATGCTCAGCTGCTTCTTCTTGGCCGGCACTTGTGCTGCGCCGTTGATTATATGCCTTCCCGTGCGCTGTGTCCCAGCCTCGTTCACACCGCCCTCTGGAATTTTCCTTGCGGGCCGCGAATCAAAAAAAAGTATCCCCACTAGCCTCTTAATGTGGGTCGTTTTGTCCCTGGCACGTGCACACGCCCTGTGGCTCATGCGCCACCGCGGCTAACTATCTTCGTTCAGCGCCCCGAACGTTGCCCCGCTTCTTGACCTCAGTCCTGGAGCCGCCGACAAAAAAATATCCCCACTAGCCCATTCAGACGCCCAGCCATTGAGAGCTGACGGGAAACGGGGCGAAGAGGCACATCTAGAGAAACAAAGCGAGCAACCGCGGTGAACCGACAGCTCTGGAAGCAAGGGGGTGGCCTTGGAAGGCCTCTGCGGGCCACCCCTTGGGGCCGCGTGGGGGCGAGGGGGAAAAGAGGAGGAGGAGGAAGAGGAGGAGGAGGAGGAGGAGGAAGAGGAGGAGGAGGACGAGGAGGACGAGGAAGACGAGGAGGACGAGGACGCGGATGAGCACGAGGACGAGGACTAGGATGAGGACGATGCGGACGAGGACGCATGAAACCATGTAGAGGTATTCTTGCGGTTGCTGCTGCTGTTGCCGGTGCTCTCTGAGAGTTTGGGGGGCCTTCTTGGAGCCCTCTTGGTAACCCTGGAAGGCTTCTTGGGATCACCTTGGAGGCCATCGATTACAGGATGGAGGGGTCCCCAACTCAGCTCCCCCCTCGCGAGCTGGCAAACCGTCTTGGGGCTTTTGGAGCGCTCTTGGGCGCTCTTGGAGCGGTATTGGGGCCGTTGGGAGCATCTTGGGAGCCATCTTGAGCCAGCTTGGGCGATCTGAGCCATCTTGGAGGTCATCTTGGGCTATCTGAGGCCGCTCGGGGGCCTCTTGGGGGCCTTTTTCGGGTGCCTCTTCAGGCCCTCCTGGGGCCCTTTTGGGGCTCTCTTGGGGCTCTCTTGGGAGCCTTGTAGCGCCTCTTGGGGTCATCTTCGAGGTAATCGATCACATGAGGGAGGGTCCCGATCGGCCTCCCCCTTCGGGGGCCACGATCCTCGTGAGGGGTGTCAAACATTGGCCCTCCCAGGGGCCGAAAAAGAGCCCTCCTACCACCCGCGACCGCCGCCCAACAAGTCGAGGGGAGGGGGCAGGGGGAGGGGTCAAGGCTCCCTCCCCGCCCGCAAGCCGTCTCGCTCACTCCTACCCGCCCTCCCAACACATACGTAGCACCCGAGTCTGGCCCGAGCCTCAGCAGATTCAGCAGTCGTCGTTGGATGGGCAGCTACTGGGGGCCAATCCGCCGCCGCCGCCGCCGCAGCCGCCGCCGCCGCCGCCGCCGCTGCCCGCCGCCGCCGCCGCGCCGCCGCTGCCGCCGCCGCCGCCGCTGCCGCCGCCGCGCCGCCCGCCGCCGCCGCCGCCGCCGCCGCCCCCGCTGCCGCAGCAGCCGCCGCATCCGCCGCCGCCGCCGCCGCCGCAACCGCAGCCGCCGCAGCCGCCGCCGCCGCCGCCGCCGCGCCGCCGCCCGCCGCCGCCGCCGCCGCGCCGCCGCCGCCGCCGCCGCCGCCGCTGCCGCCGCCGCGCCGCCCGCCGCTGCCGCCGCCCCCGCCCCCGCTGCCGCAGCAGCCGCCGCATCCGCCGCCGCCGCCGCCGCCGCCGCAACCGCAGCCGCCGCAGCCGCCGACGCCGCCGCCAAGTGTATTCTGTATTGTTTTTTGACGGGAATGGTGGGGGGGAGGCCGCATCGTGTCTAGGGAACAGTGATCAACCCCTCCCCGACAGGGGAGACGGGTTTTGTGTAAGAGGGAATAATGAATCCCGTCAGACCACCCACACCCAGAGGCCTGGTGGGATTAAATGATCACTCGGGCGTGTATGTAAACACCCACGCAGGCAAGCATGTAAGCACCCGTGCATTCGTGTAAGCAGACAGACAGGCAATCATGTACAGATGCACGCAACAAGACGAAACACGTTAGCACTTGGGTACGCAAGCATGCAAGCGTGCACTCACGCAGAACGGGTGCGAGATCGTGCGTATGCAAAGCATGCGGCTACGAAATCACGCAATCAATACATCATGCACGGCATCAAGACGCGCAGACGCAAGCAAGCCAACACGCAAGGAATCATGCACGCATGCCTTCACACACGCAAACGCACCCTCACTGTTGGGCGTCGCGGCCACGCGCGCAGCGTCGCGGCGGGGGCAGTCGGAGAAGCGTTTGTAGGAGCCGCCGAGGCGACAAAAGTTCCCAGGGATTCGCGCAGCTTGGCGAGGATCACAGGCCTCACTCACGGAGAACCACGCGGTGCGGGCGTCCCTCGGTGGTGCCGCCGAGGGACTGGACCAGCGAGGAAGCTAACCTGCGAAGAACGACCACGGTAGATCGAGCACGAGGGTGCACCGACACGGCCAGTGACGGACCACGAGGGGTCGGCACGTGCCCCGAGGCACGCTCACACGCGCATGCGCAATCACGGGACAACCACGCAGTTGTGCGAGCACAGAGACTATATGCAATCATGTATGCATTCATTCAAATGTGAGTCAGCCGTACGAGCGCCCATGTACGCAGACACACTGAAGCACGCATGCTTTTTGCGTCGGCGGTTGGGCAGAGGTCGATTGCTTGGGCGGATAGGCACCAGGGGACACGCTGTATGCAAATTGTGGCCGCAATGCACGGAAGGAAGTGGAGAACCCCCGGCGCGACGGGGAGAAAGGAAACCAGGCCACTCAGAGTTACCGGCAGCGGCGGGGGGAGCGCCGGGGGGGGGGAGCAGCGCCGGCACGCACAGGCTGTACTGTACTGCGCTGAGCTGAATCTGGGGGGGGGGGGGGGCAGCCAGGAGCTGCAGCTGGCGGAGAAGAGAAAACGAAACGGAGCCCAGCCCGGAGGACCCAGCGCGGTCCAGGGAGGGGCCAGAGCACCGAGACCGGCAGGCCTGCGAGTTGCGTGCATGGATAATGTCAGTTTGTGATTAACATAAGTGACGCTCCCACCCCCCTCGGGGCTGATGAATCGACCTCGCGGGGCACGATATTGTTTTAATCACGCGCGCCAGGGGTAAGGAGGAGAGAGGAGGGGGAGGGGGGAGAAGGAGGAGAAGGATGAGGACGAGGAAGAGGCGGAGAAGAGGGTTCAGTTCAGTTCAATTCGGGCTTGCCGAAAACATACAAGCCGTTAAAGGCGGCGATAAACAAGAAAAACAACGAAAAGCCAGGAGAGACGATCCTCATCCTCCTCGTCCCCCCAGTCCCCGCTGTCGACTCGGTCGACGCGGGCCTCGGCCTCCCAGTACGGGAGGGAGCCGGTGGCGAGGCCGAAGTGCGCCAGCAGCCGACTTGGCGTCAAGGCCCCCACGGCGGACCTGGCCGAAAGACCGCCTGCGGGGCGCGGGCCTCGGCCCAACCATGGCCGCGGCCAGGGCCGAAAAGTCCGAGGCCGAGGGCTGCTCAAAGACCCCGAGACCCCACCCACGATATTTCGACAGCCACCTCGGAGAAAGGCCTTGTTGGAGCCGTCTCTTCTGCTGGCGGAGCCCAGACCCAGCGGCGACAGGATTACAGCATTGGGAGAGCGACCGCACGGCACCCCAAGGGAAGGCTCCACAGGCCAGGCAGCAAACCAATGTGGGCCCAGCGATGACAGTGGCCCCTGTCTCATCGTGTACCGAAGCCATTGTTACACATTGCCCAGGCAAAGCCATCAGGTCTCCAAGCTCAGGGACAGCGGCCTCCAAAGCTTCACCCGAGAGGACCCTACTCAACGCCATCCCTGCGCGGGGGTTGGCGGCCTGCCGTGCAGGCCTAGCCGATCCTCCTGTGCGGAGCCTCTCGGGGAGCCGAGTGGAGTCGCACCAACCCCGAGTGACCGCAATATCTCCCTACCGTCCCACCCAGTGGTCGAACTCCCGCCAAAGACATTTGAAGCCCGCGATTTGTGGGGCAGCCGCATCAACGCTAGGATGGGCCGCTGCTCCTCTTTTGGCGAAGGAGTCCGCCGATGCATTCGCTCGGCGTTCCCAGAACGTGGCACGACCCCTCCACACATCAGCCTCCGAGCAATGGGCATTGGTCTTATGGATGGGGGCGCTTCCATCAACCGCAGCATGGAACTTGCCCCACATGTGCGCTTGACCACACCGTGCAGGTACGGACTTTCCTCTCGAGAGCGCAGCCCCTACAGTGCCTGAGCAGTCGAATCAGACGGCCTCGACCCCGAAGGCAACGAGAGGTAGCATACATCTGGCGTAGTCCTCTCCATCTCTCGCGAGTTCGAGGGGGGCAGCATCCCAGGGCACGGGCCCAAAGGCCGCCGCGATGGCGCGCCCCGGGTCACCTACCATCACGACGGCCCAACCCGTGCGCCTGAGCATAGCATTTGAAGGGTGCAATGCTGACCAGCATAGCATCTGAAGGGTGCAACGCTGACCCGTCGGTGAACAGCTTACCAGACAGCATGCCGCCGGCGGGGCGTTGAAACTAGCTGTTCTCGCAGTCTTGCGAGTGCAAGGGAGGAGGAATGAGCTCTCGGGGGCGCGGAAAAATGCCACGGGCAAATGATTCACAGGCCACCCCAAATTCTCTAATTCTCCTCGCGGCAGACGTGCATTCATGAGACAAATAAAACCTGCGATCAGCTTCCCACGCCGAACATTCAAATATGCGGCGATAAAGAGTGCCAGCTTTCTCTCCGCACAACTGACAAATATTGGTATTAGACAGGCCATGTCGGTGCAGCCTGTCTTGGGTCCAGCAAGTGCCTGAGATGGCCGTTCTCTAGCTGTTCTGCTGCGACTTGCCCCAAGTGGGGGTCTTGCGACTAGACGAGGAATCGAGCGGGCGCCAGAAGACAGTCCGAGCCCAAGTATCCGACTCCGACTTGAGGGCTCGATAGTCGTACATCTCTCGGGAAGCTTGCAGTGCCAAGCCGGCCACAGCGGAGGACGACAACTTAAGGAGATCAATTGTCCCCCCCGTGGCCAGAGTGACAGAACGAGCGGAGGGCGCTGTCCAGCCCAGGACTCCACGCGCAAGAACATACACGTAAGCCGACGACGTCACACGACTGCAAGGACGCCTGGAGTTGGCTAGCACACGAACCGCATCCTCACAGACTGCTTGCAGGATGGAGATCTTCGGGGCTCCATCCCACGCAGCTCGGGCCCATTCGAAGACCACTTGCCTGAAGTACGAATGCATGGGGTCTATCTTACTCCCCGTCTGAAGCGAGAAAAGATTGATACCTACCGAAGCCCATTTCTTTAAAGGGGGCGAAAGAAAGAAGGACCTGGTTACGGAGCTTGTGGAGGTGACCCCATGGCAGCCCTTCAACCGCGCAGCCCCAAAGAGCACTGGCCTGTGGACCAGCGCGACGTATCTGGCCAATAGAGACCCCAGCTCCACGAAGCCTACAAAGCCGAGACGCCCTTATCAGGCTCACAGGGGCCCTCTCAATGGTCACAGGGGCAAGCCTCTTGGAGCCAGTCCCAAGACTCCTAATCGTTCACGGCGTTGGGAGGACTTCTTTCAGTTACCCAGGAGCCCCGTGGCCACATTCTTGCAAGATTCTTGCTGGTCGCAAGGAACTTCGATGTTTCTCCGACGACACCAATCGCAACGATCGCAGCCCATCCATGAGCTTGCTCCCAGCAGCACCCATCTCACAGATGACGTCGCAGCTGGCCTCAATGGACTGCAGGTGGACATCGTCGACAACGTTCCTGACATCACCGATGGGCGTTGCGCAGTAATGCCAACCAAGAGCCGATGCATCAAGACTCGTGCCAGCGTGGCGGCTAAGGGGCACCCTGCCAACATTGCGCCAGAAGCAGGTTCAACTGGCGAACAACAGCCCTTGTAGCTGATGACCCTCGGACCTGAATACAACGCGCATGCGGCCCGAAGAAGCCAAGAAGTGAAGTATGTGGCGGCACCTTCCTTGAACAAGACGTAGTAGCAAACTCTTTCGCATAATTTCTCCAGATGAGTTGACAAAGAGGCCGCCCCCATATTGCGTGCGCGAGCGCAGTGCGCAAGAATTTGATGGGCCCATCAAGCTCTGCCAGACTCGTTGTCGCGTTGGCCCCAGAGACAGGATGATGAGGATCTCTGCAGACGAATAGTATGTGCGGGGGGATGAGAGTCGACGCGGTGCGAGGGGAGTGTGAGAATACGTATAAGGGGAGAGGGAGCAACCCCCACGATGCGAATGGAAGGGGGGGGGGAAGGACGGGTGAGAAGGAGAAGGCCCCTCTCTCTGTCTCTCTCTCTCTCTCTCTTTCTCTCGCCCTCTCTCTCTCTCTATCTTTGTCTCGCCCTCTCTCCCCCGCTCACCCCCTTCCGCAAAGGTGTTGATGGACACCAGGGGCCCTGAGATCAGGACGGGGTACTTCAAGGCTTCGCGGCCACGTGGGGGAACGGTGGGGAGAACGGCTCATCTTCGTCCTCTATTTCTTCGCCCGCTTTTACCACATCTGCAATCTCGTTCCTAGCCATTTTCTCAGACACTTGGTTCTGGTTGGCTTCGTCATTGCACCTGCTTTGAACTGCCCCCTCCAATGGTGGTTGCCTCTCGTCTTCGTTGGCGGCGGCGCAGTGCGGCGAGCAGGACTCTTCTTGTGGTGGTCAAACCGGCACTCGAGGGAGGCAAAACCAAGTTCACGTTCGTAGCCTCCCTAATGGATCGAGGCGTTCCAGCCGTTGCACATGTTATGCTGGTCACGGGCCTTCTAGGTTTGTTTGCTTCTTTTGATCATTCAAAATAGGTCGGCCGCGGACGCCGCCATTGGGATGGATTGTCCATCGTGCAACTGTGGTTGTATTATGTGCCCGCGTTTGGTGTGCCTCGCGGTGTTCCGCATCGTGGTGATGATGATGATGATGATGATGATGATGATGATTATGATGATGATCATGATGATGATGATCTTTCCGACGGCGATTTTGATGATGGACACGGAGCTCTCGTCCGGCACTTTCGTCGTACACAGTCATTTGGTCCATCAGGTGGTGGCATATGAATTGGAAAAGCTGGAAACTCCCATAACCCGATAATGGATAGATTCAAAAAGCGCTGGCGCGCTTTTGCGACGGTTTGCACATGGTCCCTCTCTTTCTTATCGATACGCTTGCTGTGGAGTTTCGCCCTGTTTGGGATCAGGAGGTAATCGTGAACGCTCTGCTTCATGAGCTGAATGGTTCTTAACCTCAGCGACTTTATCGCGCAGATTGTGTCGGTGAGCAGCGTTTTCCTGGTGATGGAAGCTGTGCGGAGGCACAGCCTCTCACTGATAATTGTGTTGGTTAGCGTTTGTTGTTTCAGGTGTGGCATATTCGTGTGGCCGAACAGCAACTTCATCGCGGCCGTGCTTGGAAGGAGGATGAGCGACCTTGTCGTGATAGCAGTTCTTTGGTGTAGCTCCGACTAGGTGAGCGCGAAAACACAACGCCTTCCAGTAGTACGGCTCAGGGCGAAATAGTTGACCAGATGATGCATGAGCGCGACGCTGGCGTTGAGGCCGCTGAGGCGCTGGGAATTTGCCTTCTCGATAGTGCCGATGGTCGCGGCGATAGCGATCGTATTGCGACAGTGACAGTTCATCGTGAGATCCATTGGCCCGAAAACGCCCACCAGCATGTGTGTACAGATAAAAATTTGTCGTTGGTGGGATTGTGCCAAGAAAGCGAATGGTCGTTCAATTTCTTTGTGGACGGTTATGCCTCTGCCAAGGAGGATGTGCACATTGACCGCGCCGGAAAGATAGTTGATGTGTTCGATGGTGGTCTCTTGAAGCTAGAGATGTGCCCGTGTGGCGTTGTGTGAGGTTGCGGGCCCTCATTTGCCGCACTCTCTGCTTAGGCGTCGGGTGTAGAAGAGCATACGGACATCGAGTTGTTCTCATCACCAAATGTGTCTTGGGTGGTATGTGGCGCGCTGCGGCTTCGACGGCCCAGGCTGTCTCTGGGGTAGCATGTGGGGTGCGACGACTTCGGCGTCGCAGATTTGTTCGTGCGAGTATTTCGCGTGCGCTTTGGTGGCGATCGCAATTTCATCCACGGGGCCGTCGTGCCGTTTGCGGCCGGCCGGGTGTAGGCCTGCTAGTCGGGCTCATGCTTGGCGTTGGTTGTTTCTCCGGGGCGGGCCTGGCCCTACCTAGATGAGCTCCCCGTCGCTCGTCGGGCGTTCGCCTCCTGCTCTTCCCCTAGAGCACATCCTCGATCCCCTGTCCTGCTCTTCCCCTAGAGCACATCCTCTTCCTGCTCCTGGAATGGAACGCGTGCGGGGTGGGGAGAGAGAAGGAGGAAGACCAGGCCCCTTCCTGTGAGGGAATACAGGCTCCTCGAGGGTCGTCTGGCGAGCCGTTGTTGCTAATCTCAGAGTCCGACAGGCCCGCATGATGTCGACTTGTCGTTGTTTTTACATGCGCACCAGTGAGATTGCCAAGGCCCCACTGTATGACAATGCAGAGAATACGTTTGCAAGCGGACCTGCCATCCACCCGCGTCGCCGCTGAAGGCACCCAGCTTTATGGCCAGGCGACGCGTGGCAGTCTCGAGAGAGGAGAAGCATCGCGCCCATCCGCACAGCGAGTGGAAGCACCAGGCTGCGTGGCCACACCTGGGGGGCCAGCCGCGCATCCCACGGGGGGGGCCTGGGTCGCAGACCCGGGGCCCTCTTGGAGGTTTCGTTGGCTCTCGTGCGCGGGGGTGGAGGGGTGAGGCTCCTCCTCCTCCTCCTCCTCCTCCTCCTCCTCCTCCTCCTCCGCCTCCTCCCCCTCTTTTTTCTCCTGCTCCTACGTTGTACGTGAGACCGGCACTGGTTGGATGGCCGTTGCATCAGGACGTTGGTATGTAAGAGACCGTGGTAACACCAAACACCCTGTCGGATCACCCTAGTAGGCTAAGCGGGGAGATGCGGTGCGAAGATGGTGCGGGACAACAGGGAAGCTTTCGCCGGCAGAAGGTGCTAGACCTGCGGGCGACAGCAAGTCCCTGGAGGCTCCACCCCCACACCACCACCAACCCCCCCAAACCCTTCCCCTATCGTGGCAGCACTGACGCCTCATCCTCCTGCTCCCCCTCCTCTTCCTCCCCCTCCTCATCGCGTGCGCCCTTGGGGGAAATGGTTGTTGTTGCCTGGAAAGACCCCGAGCTAGACTGATGCCGTTTTACGACTTCAGTCGTTGTATGTGTAGCGCAGCTGATGGCGTGTGGGGATCGAGCCATCGTGTCTTGCCTTCCCATGCTCCCTCGAGGCTCTTGAGGAGTCGTCGGAGGCCCATCGCGCTCTCGGATGGCTGTCGCCTGCTCTCGGCGGCTTTTCGCCCGTTCTTCGCCCGCTCTTGGAATGATTTCGCCCGCTCTTGGAGCGACTAGCGGTTCATTGAAGCTGTCATACCCCATTTCCGGCTTCGCCCGCGCGGGCTAGGTACAATCAACTATTCCTCTTTGGTTGAGATGCGTGTGCGAGGGGATGACGGAAAAAAACGAGGTACGAGTGATGACGTTTTGGTGTGGTGAAGCCCTCTAGGGAAGGGTCTAGCGGAAGGGCGTACGGTGGGGAATTCCGGGTAAAACGCTCCCTCCCCAAGACGGCCCCAGAAGCGCCCAAGACGGCCCAAGATATTCCCAAGACGGCCTAAGAGATCCCCAAGAAGAGTCCAAGAGGGCTCCAAGACGGCCCAAGAGCGCTTGAAGAGAGCCCAAGACCGCCCAAGAGCGTTCCAAAATGGCTACATATGGCCTCCAGACAGTCCAAGAGAGCCTCAAGACGGCTACAGAGGCCCTCAAGAGGGCCCCCGAGAGGGCCTCAGGAGGCAAAACACATAGATTTTCCGTAGTTGTTTGAAGGTTTTTCGGGTTCTCGCCTTTTCAGGCCCAGAGAGGCCCAAGACGGCCCAAGAGGCCGCAAAGATCGTCTCAAGACGGCTCCAGAGGCCCCCAAAAGGGGTCCAGGAGAACGGCCCAAAGGCGGCCCCAAGGGAGCCCCAAGAGGTCCCCCGAGAGGGCCCCGAGAGTCCCCCAAGAAAGCCCCAAGACGGCCAAACGCCTCCAAGACCGCCCCAAGCTGGTCCAAAAGGGCCCCCTAAGACGGCCCATAAACACCACATAAAAGAGCGATCGGCAACGTACAAATCTTTGAGCACCAAGGTTCGCCAAATCGGTCATGAGCCACCTCGGGCACGTTTCTGCTGCGCTCTTTCCGTTCCCGTGCCGGCCCAGGTCTAACACGCTTGTGGCCCATTTAGTCAGCGATTGCATCTTCCTATTCGTCTTTCCATGCATCACCATCCTGTTCCGCCCTCCTCACCCCCCTCTTGCGTTCTGGCCAATTTTTCTGGATATAGACGTCTTCTCCCCCTGTAATGTTTTGTGCGCGGAGGTGTACAACTCCAAGAAGGTGTTGGAGGCTGGCCAGGAGTTCAAGTTGGTTACAGACTACAGTGTCAAGGGCGACGAGAATCACGTCGCGATCACCTATAGCAGGTTGCCCAAGGACATCACTCGTCACTTCGCCATACCGTCCAGGAGGAGTGGGAGGGTGAAGTGCCGGGGGAGGATGGCAGGGAAGGAGGAGGGCGAGATAGAGGAGGTGGGGGAGGGGGAGAGGGAGGAGCAGAAGCGTGAGAAGGAGAAAGGATTGGTGCGTCAAGCCCAACGACCGCCGAACTGCGAACGACGTTTAAAGATCGTGTGTCCTCCTGAGGCGATTGGAAGTGCGTGGCACCAAAACGTTATAGTAGGTGCGCGTAGGATCTGCCAGAACCCACCCCTCCTCCCGCCGCATCACCGTTCCCATCATCCCACCTACTCGCTTTCCTCTGAATCCCTCTCACCTCCTCCTCCTGATTATCCTCCTGTTCCTGTTCCTCTCCCGCATCTTCTGTCAGCCTTCGCATAGGACATCAAGGTGGGCCAGCAGATCTTGGTGCAGGACGGCACTGTCATTCTCGACGTCACGTCGACGGGAGACGACTTCGTTATGTGCAAGGTTCCGAAATCCCCTCCTCCTCCACGGCCTCATCCTTTCACCTGCAGGGCGGACAAGCACTGGCATCATGCGGCACCCATGCCGTGTACATGCAGTCGTGTGTGTATGTGTAGTCAGGGCGCCCAGCGTCGACAAGTGCTGCGGCTTCAAGGTGTAGTCGTAGTCGTTGCAGCCTGTGTGTTCGGGTTGGCCTGGATCTGAGAGGTGTTGCATTGTCTTGCCTTCCCTTCCTCCTCATCTTCTCCCTCTCCCTCTTCCGTTATCCCCTCTTGGCCTCACCTCCTTCCCCCATCCTCTTCCCGCTCCTCCCCCCATCCTCTTCGGCTGTGGCTCCTGCGGGGAGGAGGCCTCCCCTCCGCGGAAGAAGATGTCCGCTATGTCTCAGGATGGCCTCGGCCTCGGCCTCGGTGCACCAAGTGCGGCTCCAGGAGCCGCGGCGTGCAGCGGCGGGCCCGGCTCGGCCAGGCGCCGCCGATGCCGGGTTCCGGAGCTGTGCCGATTGCGATGCCAGCCAGCGCTTGCGCGGAGTTCCTGAGGCCGTTGCCGCAGCCATGCCCCATGCCACATGCGTGGATGCGGATTTGGAGCTTGTAACAGTCGGCCATGCGCAAGAGGAACCCTTCGCCGGAATGACCTTCGATGCGGGCCCACAGTCGGGGCGCGCGTAATGGGGGCCGCTCGCGGCCGTTTGGGAAGCTCCCCCAAAAATTGCAGCGCATTTTGTCCTAATTGGTTGAGACGGGTTTGCGCTGAGCATGGTTAATCTACGCCCGACACCGTCCCACCTTGCAGTGGCTCGCGCGCGTAGATCTGGCCTCGCCGCGGCCCCCTACAGCCGCGCATCAAAGGTCACTCTTGCCTAGGGTCACTCCCGCTTGTTCATTTGAGAAAGACGCTGTCCTGGATCTTGCAGGCTGCGCGGGGCTGCGTGAGCAAAACGGCCTGCGGGGGGGGGGAGCCCTCGTTGCCACAATTGGACGCAGCTCGAATCGTTGGTGCATTATCCCGAGAGGTGTCTGGGGATAGATTTTGAGCTGCCGTTGCCTCAACTCGCCCTCCGAGTCTTGAAGAAGAAGTTGCAGTTCCTCGCGGATTTCCTGGGATGTCATTGGTCCCCCCTGGCGGCGCATCCAGCGCCGTCTCTGGCAGGGGGGTCGAGCGACGATCCAGGATGCGCGCGCGGACCTCCAGTTTCCGTTCACGCCGATGGATGCTGCCCCTGTGATCGCAAGTTCGGGCACGACGAGATCCATGTTTCCAGCGATCGAAGGCGCGTGCTTGGCATTTTCGGTGCGTCAAGCCGCGCGCCCATCTGACGCCCGTCTTGCGGACGTTAGGGGTGGACTTCAAACCTGACGCAGGGAAGCATCTGGCAATAGTTCTGGCTTATTGCTCTACCAAGCTTGCTTAGAGTAGCTGTCGCATTCACGAGGATCCGATCGATCCGATTCGAGATCGATCCTGGCCGGCTCGATCAGATTCGATTCGTATGTTCTGACGATCCGATGCTGTTCGATGTGTGCATGTTGTTGGTGTGCATCTTGGCGCAGCCCATCCGATCCGATCGCACACACTCACTCGATCCTACTTCTCGATTCTATGCTGATGGATCTTATCGAATCGCTTCGCTCATTCCGCCGGCCCATAGTGTAGCGTCGCTGGCACTTGCTTGCGTGCTCGGGGGGGCATTTGGGTGGCCTCCTGGGGCCGCTTGGGGGCCTCTTGGGGGCCTCCTGAGGGCGGGCCTCTTGGGGCCTCTTAGGGGCCTCTTGGGGCCTCCTGGGGACTTCTGAGGGCCGAGGGCTCGAAATATTGTTTCGTGTTCCCCCCCTGGGGTCCCTCTTGGGGCGTTCTTGGGGCCCTCTTGGGCCGTCTTGGAGGCGTCTTGGGCCGTCTTGGAGCCCTCTTGGGCCGTCTTGGGGCCCTCTTGGGGGCCTCTTGGGCCCTCTTGGGGCGGTCTTGGGGGCCTCTTGGGCCGTCTTGGGGTGTCGTGAAGCCGAAAAGGTGGAAACGCCAAAATCTCTCCAAAACCTAAGGAAAAGCAGTGAATTTTGCCTCTTGGGGCCCTCTCGGGAGTGCTCTTGGAGGCCTCTTGGGGCGTCTGGGGGCCATCGTGGGCGTCTTGGAGCGATCTTGTGGCATCTCGGACCCCTCATGTAGCATCTTGGGGGCCTCTTGGAAGCCTCTTGGCCCTTCTTGGGGCTCTCGGGGACGTCTCGGAGCCGCGTTGGTGCGCTGCCGGAGCGCCCTGGTGACTCCTCCCGGGACTCTCTCGGGACCTTGCCGGGGTACTTTCCGCCCGGGGGCCCCCAGGGGCCGCCCCGCGCGCGCGAAGTAGAAAGATTGTAAAGCAGTCACCGGAGATCTTAGCACGCCTCTGGCCCGTTGGGCCGGCGAATTATCTGCCTTCCCCCCACCCCGCTGTTTAGGGGCGCGGGCCTCGCTTGGGAAAGGGGGCCTTCCTTTGAGTCAAGCAGGGAGCGTGCAGCGCAGTCCGAGGCACGCGCTCGGCAACGGCTGAGCGGGATGATTGGCCGGAGTCCCGAGTTATCGAGGGTTGGCTCTTTTTTTCTCCTTGACCTCTGTCTCGGAGGAAAAAGACCGCGACGTCGCCACCACCGGGGGGGCCACCTCAAGCTAGGAGGTCAACGATACCTCCCCGATGTGGAGCTGACGAAACGCGCGCGAAGCGTCGCGATCCATTAGTGGGGAGCAATAGCCAGGAGCGGGGGGGGTAGTCAGCCCCAGGCCCAGATCTAATACCCAAATCTCAACAGTTTTCTGTTCAAGATGGTCGAAGTCAGCCCCAAGAGCGCCCCAGAGGCCCCCAAGGCGGCCCAAGACAGCCCCAAGAGCGCCCAAGCTACCTCGAAGGCGTCGTCGGAGAGGTCCAAGAGGACCCGAAGACGAACCATGAACACTCAAAGAGGGCCCAATATGGCTTCAAGACGGCCCAAGAGGCCCCCAAGACGCCGCAGGAGGCCCCCCAGGGGAACCCCCAAGAGTCTCACATCTTTCCATTCCCTGGGGGAAATGTTTGTTATACATATTAGCTTCTTTGGTCTTCACAGTGTCCAAGACGGCCCAAGAGGCTCCCAAGACCGCCCCAGGACGGCCTAACAGGGGCCCCAGAGAGTCCCGAAAGGTTCCCAATGGCGCCCCAAGAGGGCCATAGGAGGCTCCCAAGAGGGCCCCCAAGAAGGCCCCCAGAGGGCCCCAAGACGGCCCAAGCCCGCCAAGACGGCCCAAGAGGGTCCCGGGACGGCCCAAGAAGGCCCAAAGACTGCTCAACAAAAAAACCCCAAAGGACCCCCAAGAAGGCCCAGAAATGCAATCATCATTGATTGTCGCCACGCTTGTTGCTAGATCTTTGCATATCGTGCCAAAGCCTTCACACCAGCAGGGCTCCAAGACACTAAGCCAGCGAACTCGCGCCCTCACAGAGAGCACACGCACTTTCCGTCCCCGTGCCAGGCAGGTGAGGGAGAGAGCGAGGTACGAGTAATGTACGTTGGGACGAAGTTCTCTAGGGAGGGGTCCAGGGGAGGGGCCAGGCGCGGACGACCCGGCGTTAATGGCCGCCCGGGGGCCGCCTCCTTCGTATTTGTTCCAGTGAAACGGCTCCCGGGCGCCTTCCATGTCCCGCTTCCTTATAGTTCCTCACCATCCTGTGGTGTTGGGTCCTCGTTTTGAAGAGACAGCGCCCCGCGTCCCTCCTCCTCTCCTCCTCCCCCTCCTCCCTCCTCCCCATTCCTCCCAGCGCTTCGCCCACTTAGTACACCGTTTCGTGACCCCACATGGGAGCTCCACCGAAGGCTCCACTGGGACCGCCCGCGTGCGTCATCCACCACTTAGTACAGCGCTTCGTGGCCTTATAGGGAGCTCAACCGAAGGCTCCAGTGGGACCGCCCGCATGCGTCATCCACCACCCAGTACAGCGCTCCGTGGCCCCATGGGGAGCTCCACCGAAGGCCCAAGTGGGACCGCCCGCATGCGCCATCCACCGCCCAGCATAGCGTTGCGTGACCCCATATGGGAGCTCCACCGAAGGCCCCAGTGGGACCTCCCACACGCGTCATCCACCACCCAGTACAACGTTTCGTGACCCCACATGGGAGCTCCACCGAAGGCCCCAGTGGGACCGCCCGCGTGCGTCAACCACCAGCCAGTACAGCGCTTCGTAGCCCCATAGAGGCCTCCACCGAAGGCTCCAATGGGACCGCCCGCATGCGTCATCCACCATCCAGTACAGCGTCTCGTTGCCCCATCAGGGGGCTCCACCGAAGGCCTCAGTGGGACCGCCCGCGTGCGTCATCCACCACCCAGTACAGTGCTTCGTGACCCCGTAGGGAGTTCCACCGAAGGCCCTAGTGGGACCGCCCGCGTGCGTCATCCGCCACCCAGTACTGCGCTTCGTGGCCCCATGAGGAGCTCCAACGAAGGCTCCAATGGGACCGCCCGCATACATCATCCACCACCCAGTACAGCGTTTCCTGGCCCGAAAGCCCCAGTGGGACCGCCCGCGTGCGTCATCCACCACCCAGCAAAGCACTTCGTTGCCCCATCTGGGGGCTTCACCGAAGGCTCCAGTGCAGTGGGACCGCTCGCATGCGTCACCCACCACCCAGTACAGCGCTTCGTGGCCCCATATAGGGCTCCAACGGAGGCCCCAGCGGGACCGCCCGCATGCGTCATCCACCACCCAGTACAGCGCTTCGTGATCCCATAGAGGGTTCCACCGAAGGCCCCAGTGGGACCGCCCGCGTGCGTCACCCTCCACCTATTACAGCGCTGCGTGTCTCCATCAGGGAGCTGCACCTAAGGTGTCCGTGGCGGAACTCGCATGGCGGCCCAGTGGCGGAGTTCGCATGGCGGCGACTTTCGATGTTCTAAGGTTTTTTCGTCGTATTCGACGTATTGAAGCCGATCTCGGGCCGCGCATCCTGGGCGGGAGCCGGTTTGTTCGCTCTCTCTGCTCCGCGCAGCGGACGACCCGCGCG